TAACATAACTGCTCTTTGCGGAACCTACTGAGTTATCTTAACAGTGGCCGAATGCTACAACATTTCGTTGTGAGTGTCAACAGCTGCGCTGCTTAGTGAATGTCTGAATCGGGTCAAGTGTACGTGGATTTTAGACAGACTTTCACGGCACAGCGACGCGACAAACAAATTACAAAATAACTAATATAAATAGTGTAAATAGTAAACAATAAACCATAGCAACTAAGGATATAAAATTAAACGTTTGAAACCAATTAAATTGAACTAAATATACATTCATACATAGTATTGTAAATTACAATAAATGCGCCTGACTCAGAGCTGCTGATAAACGAATAGAAAAGAAAACGAAAAAGCAAGCATAATTAATTATTAATTATTGATAATGGCACCAACACGCAGGCCCAGCGATGGGTTATTGGCGCGCGTCAATTTTCCCCTCTACGCAGTCGATATGCTGACCAGCCGCCACATTATAGTCGCCGGCGGAGGCGGCTCCAGCAAAACAGGCGTCGCGAATGGCTTCGTAAGTGTGTCGAATATGCTTGAAATGGGACAAGAGTGCAGTACAATGGGGGTTATTAATAATTAAAAACTGCTAACATTTTGTTTGAATTTGCTTTTCCTGCTAGGAAATCTATGAGCTCTATCACAATGGCAGCCATTTTTGTGCGGAGGAGGTGCTCCGCCATGAGACGGGTGCCAATGTGGTCATGAATTTCGCAGTGCGCAACAGCGGACGACGTGCCTATCTGTGTGCCGGCCAGGAGGCACATTGTCAAATGTATTATGTGCAGCCGCGCATCGAATCCGAGGAGGACGGGGACAAGGATCGGAAGCCAGCGCCGGTGGAGCGCCCGCACGAGAACGGCGTGCGACAGCGTGGCGCTGCACACTCTGGCGTCGAGGCGTTACCCAATGGCCATAACAACAGACAACAGAACCAGAGCAGCGGCACCAGCAATCAGGAGCTGCTCAGCAAGCTGCATCGGCTGCGCTTCGACATTCAGGCAGCGGATGTGGTGCAGACGGATTTCCTGAAGAGCGCCGAGCCGTTGCAGCGCGTGGTACGCATCAGTGGCAATGGCCAGCTGATGGCAACCGGCGGCACCGATGGCCAGCTGCGCATCTGGAGTTTTCCACAGATAAAGCTTATCAAGCAGCTGGCGGCGCATACAAAAGAAATCGACGACCTGGACTTCAGTCCCGATTCCAAGTACACTGTGAGCATTTCGAAGGATGCCCAGGGCATTGTGTGGGACCTGAGCACGGGCAAGCAGCAGTACAAGCTGCAATGGCAAACGCCGGAGGGCGCTAAATATCTATTCAAGCGCTGTCGCTACGGCACTGTGGAGGCACACAAGGATAACTATCGGCTCTTCACCATAGCCAATCCGCTGGGCAAGGTGGGCAAGCAGCGCGGCTATCTACAGCAATGGGATTGCTCGAGTGGCCAATTGCGGGCAGCGGTACCCATCGATGAGAGTTTAGCCTCGCTCGCCGTACGGGACGATGGACGCTTTGTGGCCGTCGGCACCATGTTCTCCGGCAGCGTATCCATGTACATAGCCTTCAGTCTGCAGGTGAGTCGGACATGTTTTTACCCAATCAGGCTGCATCAATTAATTGTCTGCTTATGACTCTTCCAGCGTGTGCTGCACATTCCTCATGCTCACTCGATGTTTGTGACCGGGCTGCAGTTCCTGCCCATTACCAACGAGGAGGGTCCGCCCATATCTAGCGACACGGAAGCAGCCGTGCTCTCCATCTCCGTCGACAATAAAGTTTGCATACACAGTCTGCAGCAGCGACGTAAGTTAAACCTAATCCGGTGCACTCGATATACTCATTCGTATTGCATTTTGCAGGCACGATTCCCGCCTGGCTGGCCATTGTCTTTATGATCGTGATGATCTTTGTGGTATTCGTGTTCTGCTCCTACATTGGAATTTGAGACTGTCTGGACTGGTGGTCGACCAGCGAAATCAATTTGCATTATTAGTTGATAAACAATGTTTAGTTTTGTAATAGACCCATTGCCCCTTGCCCCATTTCCTGCTCCTCCCCTGAACACCCCACTGAATATTATTTTAAGTGTATAGTTGTTTTTTTGTGCCGGCTGCCTTATCTCTCGTACACTCCTCTCAAAGTCATTTTCGTTATTGTATCATATTTTTGCTTCAACTATCTCAAATTTGCCGTTGTAGTTAATATATATATATACATGTATGTATGTCAGAGTAATTAGCTTGCAAACGAATTGATATTTAATTATAAAAAACAAAGGAATAATAATAAATCAGGTGAATGCAGTTATATAGCAATAAATGGAATATTCATAACGAAATAATTTGTATATTTACTTACAAATAAATAGAATTGTTAACACACTTATATGTCTCATCAATCATGTTGAAAATATATGGCACATTTTGATTGACTTCATTTAAAAATTATTTAAATATTACAGATGCCCGCGCAGTTTACAAACACCATCCCAGCTCATAGACATTCGCAGGCATGTTAAAAGCTCTGCTCCAATTGGAAGTGTGCATGCTAATTAGCAGACGCAAAAGACCTGACTGTAAAATTATCAGTGCCATTCACCAACAAGTGGCAGGACTGTTCCAATTGGCGGCCCGCCTTTACTTAGTATTTCATATTTGCTGCCCTCAGTTTACAATTTTGAATTGCTTCCATACATTCAATAGCTCTGTTAGGTGTGATGACTAAATTTTAATTTTTGTATTAAATATATATTGGCCGGAATCATTTTAGATATTTCATTCATATTTATTATTCTACAATTTCAGCACACGCGACCGAATGAATTGCCGATTAACACTAAACTTGCTGTAATTTGCAACATTGCCATTCTCCCAACTCGTTGACATGATTACTCAAATTGGCACGGTTAACCCTTTTGTATTTATTTTTGCCGCCCTCTTACAGATTTGAAATTTCCATATATAATTTTTACGCAATTTATTTTTTATTATTATTTCGCTTGCGCTTGTAATATTTCGTGCTACAATTTATAACTATATGTATATTACTTAGCGTTTACAAAAAATTATTTATGGCGCACACTTAATATGCGTTTTTACCTCGACTATTCCTCTTGTTCTTGAGTTTTTTGTTAATTTTGTTTTGTTTTTTTAATTCAATATATTGTGTTGTGTTAATTTTTAACTTAATTATGCTTGCTTGCTCTTTGCTTATCAGTTCATTATTCTCCGTATAGTAAAATAGTGTATTGAATTGTTGTGATTTACATTTTAAGTGAATTTTGATGTTTTAAATATTTTATTTTTTTTTTTAGTAATTTTTGTTTTGTTTTCGTTTTGCTTGTATATAAAATATAAAATGCATATCAAATTGATTTAAATTTTGTTTGTTTGTTTGAATGATGTACTTAATCATAATGTAAAGTGATTTTGATGGGCGCGCATTAGTTACATAATTATATAATTGCATTTATAAATATGTATGTTTAGAATTATTTATATGTATTGTATGTATGTATGTAAATTAATTGTATTTAGTTGCTGTTGCTTTTGCTTTCGCTGCTGTTGCTTCTGCATTCCTGCCAATATGGCCTTAATTAGCATAAATAATTAATTGTATTCAATTATGAACGTAACTTATTATTGTTTTTCTTTTTAACTTTTCTCTTTTCTCTTTTGTTTATGGTTGAATGTCATTGTTTCTCATTTGATTTATAGAAAAAGAATTGCAATGCCAATTGCTGCAATTGTTGACTTAAATAGGAAAACATAAATTTAGGAGAGAAACAAAAAACAAATATTTAACAAAATCCACATAGTTAAAAGTATACAATATAAACGTAATAGGATATTAATTTTGTTTTCTTTCCTTTTCTATAGTTTAGTTTAAAAACAAATTTCTTTCGTTCTCTTCTTCTTTTGTATAATACTTTTGGCATTTCTCGCTGCTAATTAAAAAAAAACGGTAAACTATGCAAAGCGTGCGTGCATGCATATTATTTTAAAGTAAAACTAATTTCAGTTAGAATTTGTTGAACAGTCTTTATGCTGATTGATTGCCGCTGCCACGCCCACTACGAGGCCTTGGCAAACTGGATGACGGAGCTCATGCGCATCACCTTGGAGCCAGCCGAGTTCCCTGTGCCACCACCATCAGCACCACTCGCCGCTGATCCAGCCGATTCGTTTCCAGCTCCTGCTCCGCCAACGCCTCCTGCTGCTGCTGCTGCAGCTGCTGCGGCAGCACTGTTGGAGCAGCTGCCGCCCCCATTGCCGGCCTCGCCCTCATTCATGTAATGCTTGCGCTTGCGCAGCGGCAGCGTCATCACATTGCGGTCGGCCATCATCAGGGAATCGCTTTCGGGCGAGGAACTGCGCTCCGGCGACTCTGTGCTCGAGCGCAGTCCAATGGCCGCCTCAACGCGACGCACTATATCCGGATTGGGCAGGGAGGATCTATGAGTGAATAAAACAATGATAATTAGTAACTATTGTTGAGGAGGGGATTAGGATCGACTTACTCATAGAGCGGCACCGGCACATAGCCCTTGTGCAGTCCATGATTCACCAGATCGCCGCGCTTGAAGTGCTCGATCAGCACATTCGCCTCGTGCGTGTCATCATAGTTGGCCGCCAGATCGCTGACTAGTAAAGTGGGTTGGGAGGCAACTGATGGCTGATGCTGGGGCTGCGCCTGTGGCTGTGGCTGCGCTGTGGTCGCATGTCCGCGTCGCAGCTGCATCATTTGCCAGGCAGCCTGCTGCACATCCTCATCGTTGTCAACCTCGTCGTGATCCCGTCTCGCTATGCTCGCCGCTTCCAGCAGCGCTGGATTGATAGTCAGTCCAGCTGCCGCTGCTGCTCCCGCTGCTGTTGGCTGTAGCTCGACTAAGCTGGACGTCGGCTGTGGCTGATAGTAGATCATTTGTGGTTGCTGCGCTGCTCCTGCTCCTGCTCCTGCTGCCGCCGTCGACTGTTGCATGCTCAAATCCGTAGGCAAATCCTCCTCCGCATAGCTGGGCAGCAGCTGCGCGCTGGCTACGCCACTGTCCCGACTCAGTGTGTCCGTGGTGGCCATATACTGAGGCGGCGTGGAGGCCTGACTGCTGGCCGGCGAGTAGGTGGACGACACGGAGCTGGGAGAGAGCGGCGCAGCAGCAGCTGCTGCTGCTGCTGCCACTGCAATGGACTTGGCGCCGGCACGCGACTGTCGTGGCTTCTTCACTGCCGGCGGCGAGCTGGGCGGCGAATTGTTGCTGCACTCGGAATTGCTGGCTATGGACGATGGCGAACCGCTGGCAACGGACGTTGATGCTGCTGCAGGAGAAGCTGCTGCTGCCGCTGCCGCTGCCGCCTCAACCTCATCCTCGGGCAGCTCGTTGGCATGGCCCTTGATGTGCGCCTCCATCTCCTTCTTGTTCTTGAAGGTCTCGTCGCAAATGGTGCACTTGTAGCACTTGGCCCCATAGTGCTGGACGCGATGCAGCTTGAGCACATGGTTGTAGCCAAAGTCCCGGAAGCAGATGTCACAGTGGTAGGGCTTCTCGCCCGTGTGGGTGCGCGAGTGCACCTTCAGCTGCTTGGAGCAGGTGAATCCCTTGCCGCAGCCCGGCTCCGGGCATTTGTACGGCTTCTCGCCGGTGTGCGTGCGCATGTGGATGACCAGCTGGCCGGACTGAATGAACGTCTTCTCGCACACGGAACACTTGTGCGGCCGTTCGCCCGTATGGATGCGCATGTGGCGATGCAGCTTGCCGGAGTGCTCGAACGCCCGCTCGCACACGTCGCACTTGTACGGCCGCTCCTTCGTGTGGATGCGCCGATGCACCTGCAGATTTTCCTTCACACTGAAAAGCTTGTGGCAGAACTCGCACTCGAACGGACGCTCGCCCGTGTGCGTTCTATAGTGGCGAATCTGTGGGAATAAGGAGCAAGCATTAGTGGAATTTCACTTGGCAGAGTGGAATATATTTTTATGGAATTTGTGGAAATTCGTGTTTACCATGGAACTATTATTCTGTGATTTTAATATACAATAAAATGCCCAAGCACATCAATTTCTTAGTTTAACTCAACTTTTTAGTACATAAATTGTACGCATCAGACTGGAATCTGGACGAATGAAAGGCTCAAAGACTAAGGAAATTTTAAAATTTTTATACGATGCATATATATTTTTAGCCAAAAAGACATACAAAAACAAGTCTCTAGCTTTTATATCTTCTGAGATCGACGCGTTCAAACATACTGACAGACGGACAGAGCTAAATCAACTCAGCTCGTCGCTCAAGATCAAGAATATATTTATATACTTTGTGGGGTCTGCCACGCCTCCTTCTGCCTGTTACATACATTTC